CTGAGAGTCTAGCCTCATGTGGATGTGTTTACCACCCCAAATCTGGGAAGCTGTTGTGTCCTGATGCAGCAGGTATTTTTATTTAGTACCTAGGTTGTTCAAGAACTCTACTACATAGCAGGGCCCCTTAAAAGAGCCACACTTCTGTATATTGAGCCTACCAGGGACAGTGTTTGCCAGGAAGCTACACCTTTGAAACTTTTTTTCTGCTTTCTCAAGCCTATGTGTATATATGTGATCCCAAGTTGGATGCCATATATAGTGTGTTTTTTCATCAGCCACCAGCTCACAAATAATGATATGGAGATTTATTATTAATTATGAAAGCTTGTCTTGTAGCTTAGGCTTGTTCTTAGCTGGATTTTATAACTTCAACTAACCCATTTATATTAATTTATTTTCACTCACATAGCATTACCTCTCTTCCATCTTGTACGTCCTGTTTCCTCTCCATGTCTCCTGATGTCTCCCACACAACTGAATTTCTCCTCCTTTTCCTTTTTCTCCTTGAAAATCCCGACTATACCTCCTACCTAGCTATTGGCAATTCAGCTTTTTATTACACCTTCACACATGTACAAATATCACACAATATCCCCTGGCATTGGTTTAAGCATTTACCACTACTTCTAGCAACCATTTCTCCTATGCCTTGTTTTGCCTAACATGTAGGCCAACATCACTGCCTAGTATTCATTGTTTATTAATTTATCTATTTGTTTTAGTGTTGAGATATAGCTGATGCTAGGAACATACTCCTTTATCAAGTTACACTAATCCCTTGTTTATCTTTTAAATTGATTATGCCACTAAGAGAATGCATGTTCCCTGACCTCACACCCAGAGGCCTGCCAGCAATGTAACACATAATCTTGCATATTCCTTGTCCTAGTTTGCTTTCTTTTGTTGTGATGAAACATGATGACAAAAAGAATTTGTAAAGGAAAGAATTTATTTGACTTACATATTCCAATTACAGTTACTCATTGAGGGAAGTCATGGCAGGAACTGAAGCAGAACATTGCTTATTGTTTGCTTTCAGGCTCATGTTTTCTCATAGCTCCCAATATGCCTTGGGGTGGCACTGCCTACAGTGGTCTGGAACCTCCCCAATCACTCAAGGACACTTTGATGGAGGCAATTTGTAAGTTGAGATCCCCTCTCGCCAGATATGTCTATGTTTGTGTCAAGTTGACAAAAGCCAACCAGCACCATCCAAGACCACTGCTGATACACAGACCTTACTTGCTGGGCAATGAGCAAATAAATAGGGGGTGATGTCAGATTATTTGTCCGGCATCATATACAAATGGATGTGGGTTAGTGTGGGATGATTTGTCCAATCTTATAAACAAATGGGTAGTAGGTGGGTGAGAATGAGGGAGCATCTAACCAACATGATATACAAATTGATTGTGGGTAGATAGGGAATTGTCTGTCCAGTATCATAAGCAAATAGGTAGTGGGTAGATGAGGGATTTTCTCTCCAGCATCATATACAAATGGGTAGTGGGTGGTTATCTGTCCCACATACAACTGACAGTATGGAATAGAGGTGACATAATTGATGCAAATATTTTAAGATATGATTCTGCATCTCAACATTCTATCTACTTAATTGAAAAAATGGTTATTCAGGTACCTATCCAGGGTCTGGCACTGTCATAGGTGTGGGACATTGTAGAAAAAATTATCTATCTATCCTCCAGGAGATGTCTTAATGGGTTAAGACTGCCTTATGCACTTGCTTATGATCTAATCTAATTTCAGGAAAGAGTTGGTCTGTAGACACAAAAGAGGGATTGCATCTGGGTGTTCTGAGACCTGTGGCTTGTTTACAAAGGAAATCTGTGGGCAATGAGGGTGAGATTGAACAAGGAGGTAATCAAACCATGAGCTAATGCCCAGAGACAGGATCCCTGCTCTGCAGTCAGAGTCTTTGTGCCCTTTGTTCTAAGTGTGATGTCAGAATTGTGAGTTGGGGAGAGATGGCAGCGATGGTCTGATTTACACTTCAAGATGACTACAGAGGCTTCCATATGAAGATGGGTGAATTAGAGTTTGGAACTCATGCCTTCAGACTGGTGAGCCTGGAACAACTTTGTCTGGAACCCTTGGACCAAGGGAATGAAGGACCTATGTGGGAAACTGACATCATGATGAACCTGGCTTCTGAGAATGACATGAAAGTAACAAGAGTTTGTTACTATATTTCTGGGGGCATGTTTATCACATATGTGTACAGGTTTGGGTGAGGTTATGAGGTAGACATGGCATATCCACAGTGAGTTCATGCATGAGATTGATGATTCACTTAAAGGGTCACTTCTATAAGAACTCAGTTTCCACGTTTAATGCTTTAATGGACATACTACATTTCATGGTCACTCCATCTATGAATACTACAGCTTCATGTAGTTCTCCACCCTTTTGCTCTATGGTAGGCTCAAACTTGAGCCATAATATATGAACTTCAATATAACCCTCAAGGCTTGTTTATTGTTGTTTCCACCATTAATTTCCCCCCAAAGTTTCCTGTGAAATTTGAAACAAGTTACTATCACCTGGGGACAGCTCCTTGGAGTTGAACTTATAAAAGCAGTCTGGCTTAAATAAAAGTTTCTGTGACCCAGCCCTTAATAAGGCTGTTTTAAATCTGAAATTACCCCAGGGGTAGCCTCCAGGGAAACTAACCCTGTGGCTGAAGAGTTCTGGTTTATGGGCCTCTTCCTTAGTTCTTTAACAATGTTCTCCAAGTCACTGTAATCAGGGTTATAACTATTTATATGAAGAGAATGATGGGTGGGGCTCATAAAGGCTCTAATTCAAGGACAGTCAAGTGATGGGAGATGCCATTCTGTAAATCTGTCTCTTATTGGTTGTTGACTAAAGCACTGTTGACCAATAGGTGGGACTAGGAGTTGAGGAGGATTCTGGGAAAGAGAGACACAGGCAGACATGATGTAGCTGCCATAAGAGTAAGAGGTCCACACCCTTTCCTCCAGTAAGAGAAATACTTAGATTAACAATTATGGGTTAAATACTTCAGTCAGAGATAGCCAGTAAGAAACCAAGCAAACAGCCAGCAGCTTTATAATTAATATAGTGTCCTGTGTGTTACTTGGGGACTGCAACTGTGGCAGAGCCCAGGCAGCTGGTGGGGGAAAAAAACCAAAGCAGCAGACAAGGAAGTCTATACTCTACAGTCAAGTCCAATGGAGGTCTGCAAGGATTACCATTTTGGCTTGCTATTTCTTTAGTCAATTCTGAATGCCAATAAGTAAACTTTCATACTTTTGTATCATTTTGTTTTACCTATGTCATTTGCTTTGCTGGGGAGCAGAGTGACCACAAGCCATGCTCCTTTTCCTTAGAAAAGGTCAGAGGACACTTTCATTGATCATATGGTTTATTCTTCTCCACCATTGCTGAGATGTTTGAGTGTATTGTGAAAGCAAAGACACTGATGCTTCACTGGAGAACCTCTTATCTGAAGTGACTACTGATTATTATATGCCCAGATGAGAGGCTAGTGACTCTCTTGCTTTCTGAACTGCCCTGCCCCTAGGAATGGGTGTTTCAGCCTGGAAGAAATAGCTACCCAGTGGTTTCTCAAGGGTGAGCTGATGAAAGACTATAAGCCAGAGACTAAAAACAATTATGTGTCACCTCACACTTTCTGGAAGGGAGAAGTGCAGGCTATATGTGTGGGGCTCTAGTGTAAGCCCCAAAGGGTAACCCTCTAGACTCTTTGGTTTATAGAAGCATCATTCCAATCACTGCTTCCATTTTCTCAGGGCCAAATTCCCTTTTTGTCTATGCCTGAATTTCTCTTCTCTTTATTCTATTTTATTTTTATGTCTATGAATATTTTGTCTGCATGACTGTATACCCCATGCATGCAGTGCCAAAGGATACCAGAAGAGGGCCTCTTATCCCCTGAAACTGTATTACAGATGGATGTGAGTTACTACATGGGTGATGGGAATCTAACTCAGATCTTCTAGATCAGTAAGTGCTCTTAACCACTAAGGAATCTTACCTTTCCAGCCCCGAAATTTTCCCTTAAATGAATACCAATGAGATTGGATCAAAGATAGTCTGTGTTTCAGTAGGACCTCATCTTAACTAATTCGGCAAATTACAGCCCTACTGTCAAAGGTCAAAGCCTGAGCTACCGACAATTACCAGCCTAATGTATCTTTTTAGGACACTATTTGACCCATGGGATTCACATCACAATTCCAGTTTCTTTGTAAATTATTTAGTTGCTTTGGAGAATTCTCCTACTAGATACAGCTGGTACCAATTTGAAATGAGAGCCATGCCAGACCTTTTATGCTCAGAGCTGATGGCTTGCCTGGCAGAGGCTTACTTTATGTCTTTGACCCAACACAATAATAGGCATTCCCTTTTAATGTTGATCCTGGTGGTTTTGAGACATGTTCTATGATGCCCTACTTAAAGCACACATTTTGGGGTCATTTCCTCCAGCATCCAGTCATCTGCTAAAGCAAATTCCCTCATGCAATAACCTCACAAACACAGTTCCTAGAGTGATACCTAGCACACAGATGAAGTAAATAAGGTGCTAAGCAGCCTCAACTTGGCAGCTGGCTAGTGATAAATCTGGAATTTCTACTAAAGTGAGCTGGATTCCCTGACTATCTGGACTTAACCAGATATCATCCTGCTCCCCGGATAAGGTAGAGCATAATACTTCCATTTATTTTTAAGCATTGCACTGCTTGCTTTGTATTTTCATACATGTAGACCATTGTGCTTTGTTCACCATTCTTTACCATCTTTCCCCTCCATCTGATGCCATTCTTCCTCACAAACAATTGCACTTCTCTTTTCATGTGTGAAAGTATGTGATATGTTTTACCTGAAGACCTCAACCCCAAGATGATGTTTTCACAAATAGGAACAACTATTAAACAATGTTCTTTTTCAACAGATTGCATTGATGGAGCAGAAGTTGTGATCTTCATGCTTAGGAAGAGGCTCACTGACCCTAGGAAATCTGTGGACAATGTTCATGGTCCAAGAGACAGCCATCGTCCTGTCACAGGTACCCACTGATTCCTGAAGGCTGACATCAAGAGAGGGGCAGATCTTGGCAGCATCATTGGTCCAGGCAAGATGTCACTATGACCCAAAAGGAGGAAGAGAGTTAAATTTTTCACACAGACTCCATTTACTGAGAATAACTTCTGCTCTGGAACCATAGATAATCAAAAATGTTTTGTCAACCATGTGATGTTTTTGTGATTGTTTTGAGTATACATAATCTCATCAAATGAAGATTCTCCTTCAGGTAAATGATCACCTTTCCTGCCTCTGGGAATCTGTGATAAATACCAACAGGGCTTAAGTGAGTCTGATACAGAAACATGCAAACATTGCTCTACACCATTTGAAAGGTAGCTTTTTTTCTGAGAGGGAGAAAAAAAACCAAAAAAAACTACTCTCATCCTTTAAGTGCCTGATTTTCTGATGTCCTTTTTGTCATAGATTCAAAAACATGTCTGCATGATTTGTATGTTAAGACTATTAGAGGGGTAATCAGAATAAAGGGGGTTATAGGGTTGGAGTCCTAATTCAATGTAACTTTTAAGGTGATATCCTTATAAGAAGAGACATCAATCTGTGTGTGATGGTGCATGCCTAAAATCTAGTATTCCGGAGGCTACTTCAGAAGGATGTTGAGTACAAAGCCAGTCTGGAATATATAGTACAACTCTGTCTCTTAGCAAGCAAACATGCACACAAAGCAATGGATAAGATCTCACCTTTTCTCTTTTCCTCAGAGGCTCACACTCTCTTCTGCTCCCTGCCTCCCCCATCCCTGAATTTTCTCCCCACAACAAATGCATAGGAGATAGGTCATGCAAAGACACAATGGAAAGATAGTTGTCTACAGCTAAGCAAAGAGTGAATCACTAACCCTGTGACTCTTGATCAGTGGTTCTAGTCTTCAAGAAAATGTCTGTTATGCAAGCCTCCAAGCCTGTGATATTCTATTATTACAGACTGAGACAAAATACCCCCTTTTCCCTGGCTGTCACTGACCTCTCTTCTAACCCATGCCCTGGCTCCTAAGGGCCATGCTCCCTGCATCCTCCTGGGACCATCCCAAAGCACAGTTGCTGAGTGCACCATACTTTATTGTAGACTTGAGAGCATTCTGGGTAGTTGCAATGCAAAGTTTGTAATGAAATCACAAATTTGATTAGAAACATCTCTTTTCCTAGGAATGAAACTAATTAGCACCCCCAGCTCCATGTGGAATGTTCCACTGTCCACATACCATGATATTACTTGATCATTTTTCTCTGATATCTGCATTACAACTGACACATTATTCCTTCCTTCCTAGGCTGCGCTTGGAAACTCTATCAATTGGACAAAAATGCTGTGCTGCTAATCTTTATGTTGCTCTTATCATGCAAGGTGTCTGTGATGTACTTGGGTAAGTGGGCTTATCTATGACAATAGCAAGGCTTACAAAGCTGTGCTCATTTCTTTTTTTTCCTTTTTTAACTTAACATTTTACACATGTTAATGTCAGTTCCCTCTCCCTCCCCTCCTCCCCAATTTCTCAATCCTCCCAACCCCCAACCTACTCCACCCCTGTCCACTCCCCAGGGATGGTAAGGGATTTCATGAGGGATTTTCAGAGTCTGTCCCAGGGAGGGCCCAGGTCCTGCCCCATGTGTCCAGGATGTGAGAGCATCCCTTCATGTGGAATAGGCTCCCAGAAGCTATTTGTACAACAAGAATCAATTCTGCTCTACTCTCCAAGGTCTCACAGATTGCCAAGGCCTCTTCTCTGACACCCAGGTTTGGGGAAGCAGGGTGGGGGAGGATATCTGGATCAGTCCCATACTGGCTTCTAAGTCATCAGTCTGGGGTTCATGCATTCCCCCTTGTTTGGGCCAGATGCCTCTGTGGGTTCTGCCAACCCGATCTTGATTCCTTTGCTTATCACTCCTCTTTGCAACTGGGTTCCAGGAGTTCAATTTGTTTTTTAGGTGTGGGTATTTGCCTCTGGTTCCATCAGCCACTGCATGACGGTTCTAAGATGGCATGTAAGGTAGTCATCCATCTCATTATCATGGAAGGGCATTTAAGGTAGCCTTAATGCCAGTTTGTGTCATTCTTGTAGATCTCACTAGTGCCAGATCTCTCCTCCAACTTACAATGGCTCCCTCTATTATGGTATCTCTCATCTATCTCTCCTCTATTCTTACCCTGGCTCAAACTTCTTGCTCTCCCATATCCTCCTCTCCCCTCCTATTTCCCCCCTCTTCTCTTTCTCCCATATCCTTCTGCCCTCCACCCACCCCACTCCCAATCCAATTAGGAGATCTTGTCCCATAACTCTTTTCTGGCTTGCCACGCATATCTCTCTTAGGGTCCTCCCTGCTTCCCAGACTCTCAGGCAGTGGGATTGTGTAGGCTGGTAATGCCCTGCTCCATGTCTAAAATCCATATATAAGTGAGTACATGTAATGTTTTTCTTTTTGTGACTGGGTTACCTCACTCAGAATGGTGTCTTCTAGTGTAATCCATTTCCCTGCAAATTTCAATATTTCCATTTTTTTCTGCTTAGTAGTACTCCATTATGTAACTGTACCACATTTCTCTATCCACTCTTCAGATGAGGGACATCTAGGTTGCTTCCAGGTTCTGGCTATTACAAATAATGCTGCTATGAACATAGTTGAGCAGATGTCCTTATTATATGAGTGTACATTTTTTTGGGTATATGCCTAAGAGTGGAATTGCTAGACCTTGTGGTAGACTGATTTCCATTTTCCAGAGGAATCTCCATACTGATCTCCAAAGTGGCTGCACAAGATGGCATACCCACCAGCAGTGGAGGAGTGTACCCCTTTCTCCACATCCTCTCCAGCATAAACTGTTATTAGTTTTTTTTTTATTTTAGCCATTCTGAAGGGAGTGAGATGGTATCTCAGAGTTGCTTTGATTTGCATTTCCCTGATGGCTAAGGATGTTGAGCTCTTTCTCAAGTGTCTCTCAGCCATTTTAGATGCCTCTATCGAGAATTCTCTATTTAGTTCTGTAGCCCACTTTTTAATTGGATCCTTTGGCGCTTTGGAGATTTGCTTCTTGAGTTCTTTGTAAATTTGTAGATCAGTCCTTTATCACATGTGGGGTTTGTGAATATCTTTTACCATTCTAAAGCTGTCAGTTTGTCTTATTGACTGTCCTTTGCCTTGGAAAAGCTTCTCAGTTTCAGGAGGTCCCATTTATTAATTGTTGATGTCAGTATCTGTGCTACTGGTGTTAATTCCAGGAAGTGGTCTCCTGTACCAATTCATTCAAGGGTACATTCTACTTTCTCTTGTAAGTGGTTCAGTGTGGCTGGATTAATGTTGAGGTCTTTGATTCATTTGGACTTAAGTTTTGTGCATGGTGATAGATATGGATCTTTTACATGCCAATATCCAATTACTCCAGCACCATTTGTTGAAAATGCTTTCTTTTTCCACTGTATAGTTTTAGCTTATTTGTCAAAGATCAAGTGTTCTAAGATGTGTGGGTTGATATCAGTGTCTTTGATTCAATTCCAATGGCCTAACCTGTCTGTTTTTGTGCCAATATCAATCTGTTTTCAGGACAATAGCTCTATAATAGACCTTGAAGTCAGGGATGGTGATGCCTCCTGAAGTTCCTTTATTGTACTGGGTTGTTTCGGCTATCCTGGGTCTTTTTTTCCCATATAAAGTTGAGGATTGTCCTTTTGAGGTCTGTGAAAAATTGTGCTGGTATTTTGATAGGGTTTACATTGATTCTGTAGATTGCTTTTGGTAAGATTACCATTTTTTACTAAGTTGATCCTACCTATCCAAGGACATTGGAGATCTTTCCATTTTCTGGTATCTTCTTTAATTTTTTTCTTTAAAGACTCTAAGTTCTTGTTATACAGGCTGTTTGGTTAGAGTTACCCCAAGATATTTTATGGTGTTTTTGGTTATTGTAAAAGGTGATGATTCTCTGATTTCTTTCTCATCCCCTTTATTTCCTATGTATAGTAGGGCTACTGATTTTTTGAGTTAATTTTGTATCTTGCCACTTTGTTGAAGCTGTTTATCAGGTGTAGGAGTTCCCTGGTAGAATTCTTTGGGTCACTTACATAGACTATCATATCATCTGCAAATACTGAAAGTTTGACTTTTTGCTTTCCTTGAACTCCATTTGTTGTCTTATTGCTCTAGCAAGAATTTCAAGTACAATATCTGCAAGATATGGAGAGAGTGGACATCCTTGCCTTGTTCCTGATTTTAGAGGAATCGTCGTGAGTTTCTCTGCATTTACTTTGATGCTGGCTGTTGGTTTGCTGCATATATGCTTAGGAATGTTATCCATGACTTCTGCAAGAACTTTATCATTAAGGGGTATTGGATTTTGTCAAAGGCTTTTTCAGCATCTAGTGAGATGATCATGTGGTTTTTCTTTTTCAGATTATTTATATGGTGAATTGCATTGATGGATTTTCATATGGTGAACCATCCCTGCATTCCTGGAATGAAGCCTACTTGATCATGGTGTATGATTTTTCTGATTTTTTTATTCTATTTGCCAGTATTTTATTGAGTATTTTGCATCAATGTTCATGAAGGAGATTGGTCTGTAATTACCTATCTTAGTTGTGTCTTTGTTTGTTTTGTGTACTAAGGTAATTGTAGCCTTGTAAAGAGAGTTTGGCCTTACCTCAATTTTTTGTACCTGTTGAGGTTAGCTATGTTGCCAAGTATGTGGTTGATTTTTGAGGAAGAAGGTATATTCTTTTGTGTTTAGATGGAGTGTTCTATAGATGTCTGTTAAACACAATTGGGTTATAACTTCTATTAGATCCTTTGTTTTGTTTTAAGTTTCTATCTTGTGGTCCAGTCTAGTGGTGAAAGTGGGGTGTTGATGTCTCCCACTACAAGTGTGTGAGGTTTTATATGTGCTTTGAGTTTTAGTAATGGTTCTTTTACAAATGTGGATGGCTTTGTATTTGGGGCATAGATGTTCAGAATTGAGACTTCATCTTGGTGGATTTCTCCTGTGATGAGTATGAAGTGACCTCCTTCATCTCTTTTTATTGTTAGATATTAGGATTGCTACCCCTGCAT